GCTCGGAGGTCTTACTCGGAAGTGCACCGCCATGCATAGGCTGCCTCTGTTTTCCTTTCTTTACTCCTCTAGAGGCTGCCAAAACCTCAGGATTGCTTCTCTGGATACTGGAGAAATGCCATCGGCTGGGTAGAATGCTCATCGCCAGTGGCATGTGATCACCGGCCATTGGTGAAGCTATCGGCAGAGGGAGGATTGCCGGTCGGCACTTAGCACTGCCGGTCGGCAGAAAGCTCCTGCAGAATCTGCAATTGACAGCAACAGAGAAGAGAGCATGGCAATACAATTCAAGGCATATATGCACCAATCATGTCCCTTATCATGTTAATGACTCAAAGGAACATGTTCCTTGGTTCTCGGACCATCAATCGCGTATTTCCATGCGTGATGCCCAAAAGACCAAGTGTGCACGTTTTGATGTCAAATGCAATGCAAACCAACAAACCAATGGGACTGACCTCCATCATGACTTGGTCAAGAGGTAGAGCATGCATGCCAATGCAATGCAATCCTAATCATGCGAGGCTAGCATGCAAACATAGCAATGCAATGCGAGTGATGTACACTAGGCCACACAACTATGCAAACAAAGCAAAACAAGCATACAAGGCATGAGATAATGCCACCAACAAGTATGCAAGGCATAATGTGGGTGTTTAAGCATGTAAACAAACATGTGACTTCATTCAATCATGCAAGTTCAATTATTCACAACAACTCACCAATATGCTACAACATACAAGGAGTACACGCAACAAAAAAAAGATGGACTAACATGATTTGGGCAGCTCTAATAAGGCCCAAAACAGTGGCCAAAGTGACCAAAATAAAAGACCAAATACACATACACACATGCACATGTTAAAGGGCCAACACTTAGGCCAAAGGGGACTCTCAGCACACTTGAAAGAGGCATAATGTGGACTAATGGCATGCAAGATAAGCATTGAAAATCATGTTAAGATGGTGCCAAACCAAGCAAACAAAATAGACTAAGCATGCAATAAATGGCCCAAGTACTTGAAGCAAGTCAAAGGCTTGAACCATGACCAAGTCAACAAGCCTCACAAGGCTAAGAGGACTAAAATAGGTTTCAAGGTAGACCTAGACCAGAAAGGGACCCCTAGATGGCAATCTCTTCTTTTACCGCAAGGCGCGAATGATGAAACTCTCGGAGTACTTCCTCTCGGCAAGACTTCGGTACAAACAAACGAACAAAGGCCCTAGGCTAGATTCACACTCTAGGGAGATCAAATCTTAGAGAGAGTGTAAGTTTAGAGAGAGAGAGCCTCGGATCTAGGGTTTGATCAAAAAGGAAAGTGAAAAAGTGAAGTTCAAAATCGCTACTGTCCGCTGATATAAAACACTCTCGCTCGAGCGAAGCCTTTTTCGCTCGAGCGACCAGACACAGAAAACTCTCGCTCGAGCCAAGAAGTTCTCGATCGAGCGAAGAAAAATTCAGACCGCTCGAGCGAAGGAAGCTCGCTCGAGCCAAGAAAGACAGCTCTCAGGTCCAGAACCAGGTGCAACCGCTCGCTCGAGCGAGCCACTCTGGCTCGACCCACCAAACACGAACCCCACTCTCGCTCGAGCGACCAACTCCTCGCTCGAGCGAAGGTCCAAAATTCTGGGCAGCAACACTAGGCTCCCGAACACAACCAACCTGTAACAAACCTGCCTAACACATCCTATAACTCAAATATGAAGAAAAAGGAATGTAAACACGATAATAATCAACTACCAACATCCACGGACACATGTCCGGATCACTGTACAACAAGGGTAAACCCGGGATCGCTATAATTAATTTAAATTAGGGTTAGAGAGTCTAATTCGGTTTGGATTTCTTGTTTCGAATAAAAAGGCGATCAACCAACGAACAGGATAAAGACTGGAAAAACCTAGGGTTTTTAAGTGGTAATTCCATATTTAGGGATTCAATTAATCAGTATTAGGATATTAGAAATGATTCCTAAGTTCCGGATTCAATCAGGGTTTATACGGGTTCATCCGTGATACATTTTCAGTTCTAGGGTTAATTTTGCGAATAAACGGGGAATTAGAGGCTTTTATTATAATAATTCAAAAGTAAGGGTCTTACTAGGATTTACAAAATTTAGGGGTCTCACAAGATGGGATGATTCAAGTGCTTCAGACTTTGGCCAGGGTGGTGCAACAGCAAACTACCATAGGGAATAACTTAACCAGACTTATGGAGCAACAACGGATGCAGCCAGGTGTTGGGGCACAATCGAGGCCACGTTGTAACATTACTGAGTTTAAGAAGATGGCATTGGCATTTTAGGGAGCCATAGACCCTTTGGAGGCTAAAATTTTTTGACAGAAATAGAAAAATTGTTTCTCATTTTTTAGTGTACTTACAATTAAAAGGTGACCCACACTACGTTTATGCTACAAGAGATGCTTAATGATTGGTGGCAAATGGAGAAACACAAATATGAGCACGATGTCAATCCATATACATGGGAAAGGTTTAAGAGTGCATTTAATGAGAAATACTTCCCTAGGAGTGTTCGTCTATGGAAACAAAAGGGAATTGTTGAAGTTGGAGCAAAAGAATAAGACGGTTGTAGAATATGAAGTTGAGTTTACAAAGTTGTCTAAATTTGCACCAGCACTTGTAGCGGACAAGGATAGCAGAGCACAAAAATTTGAAGGTGGGTGTCGTATGTCCGGGGGTACCCGAGCGTGCTAAATAGTTTAGACCCTTGATTTCTTTGATCTAGTCTCACTAGTGCAATATGAAACATAGATGAGAGTCAAGATCCGACAACTTTTATAGAAAATCCATTTTATTGCAAAGCCTTTGCCAAAAATGGACTGTATCACAAGATTCAAAGTTGCTACCTAATCTTTTGGGAAAATTAGGAAACCCATGACTCGTGCCAAGGCCACTGTTTGTTATAACCAAAAATGTCTCGGTTTGGAACCTTAGGTATGAGGGGAGAAGGTCATTAATTGAGCATCCCCACTCTTCCAATCAAAAGATCGGCCTCTACTAAACCATGATATGAGTTTTATTGACTTTATATGTTCATATTCCAATTATTAATAATGCTAAAATTTATATGTGAAACAAACAAGTATAGTCTATGTCATTCATTTTGAAACGTTTGATTTCATGTATTTTTGAAAGAGTTTTGAATAATGCACAACTCAAAAGAAATCGAGTTCACATACATGAAAACCGATATTATTCCAAATTGAATGACACAACCTCCATCCACTGGAATTCATAGAGATATATCACTTAAGCAAGAAGCTGCATGGTACGATGCTTAGACAGAGTAAAACAAACACATATAAGTGAGATGCTAAAGCATAAACATCCATATAGTATTTATCGACGTCCTGCGGAAAGTTGCAAAACAAAGTTAGCAAAATATACGTGATCCTATATTCAAGATTCTAATGCAATACATGCACAAAAATGCAACTAAAAATTTGGCTACTAATACATGACATGTGAATCATCTCAAGTCATGTGGTAGCGCATAAAATCACATAGAAGTTGATTAAACTCACAAATGCAAATGAGCCGAATTTGAATGCATGAAATATGAATGCAAAGCATAGATATGATGAAAAAGAAAATATGATGCTATTTACAGATATGGAAAGCAAGTAAATGAAAGGGATAGAAAAAAAAAAAAAGCAGGGATGGGGAATTATTACAACACCGAATAAAAGGAAAAAAGATAAAAGACATGGGGTTGGAAATTATTACAACACAAACTGAATCTAGCAAATCATGAGAATACACAAAAAAATAAAATAAAAAAAATAACAGGAAACTTCAATCATCTGTCGAAAATTGCCTTGTCTACTGCTTGGGAACTACTTTGTTTTGCTCATCTAAGAATTCTTGTTTTTCATGTAGCCAAACCAAAACAAGGCAAACAAAACCTTTCCAAGAGATGCTATATCATATATACAAAAAGCTATCAAATGGAATGTCACGACCCAAACCCGGTACCCAGTGGTTTGGCATCACAAGAAGACAATAATTGAAGTCATAACAAATTAATAGTGCAGCGGATTAAAATAAAAGGGTATCCAAATCTTAATTTAATTATAACAAAAACAAATAAATTTGAGCTTCTATATTCATTTACATTGTCAGAGCTAAGGTATGATTACAAAGTGCTTGTACCTACCCCACACACTGGTCCTAACACGTCACCTAAAAATGGTTAACAACCATAAGCAAATAGTAGAGTGAGAAATATTATACTGAGAGCATCAGGGTATAAAAATCACCATGGATAATTATTTGGGCTAAACAGAGATTTGTTCAATAACAAAAATACATAAGTCATTTTAAATAACAGAAGCATAATGTGGAAATCATATAAGCAAATAATTATAACCATAGTACAAAACAGAACAGAACATGTGTATGGACTCAAGAGGTGGCTCGTATGAATTTTGGAGGTGGCTCCCACAATAGTGTAGCACTTAACTCTGCACAGCACTTTGTTCCACACCAGAAATCAGAGGGTCAGTGGATCCATAACAAATAAAGGGTCACATAAAGTGACAATACAGAGGGTCAATGGTTATTTAGGTCCCCAAGGCATGGGACCTCCGTAGTGGTACTTACAAAATCATTGTACAAACACATTTAATAAACTGTTATATCCATGGGTTTCCTGTTTGAAGCAAATAGGGTTCATGTAACAAATAATATACTTTTAAAAACTAATATGGTTTGCAAAACAGATTTTACATAAAGCAATTTATCGTAATTCAAAATATAATATAACTTACCTCAAACTTGATTCTTTACTCTCATTTCTGACTTCGACTCACTCTCTCAGATACCCCTCGTTTGTTATTCTTGTGATTTTATTACCATGCAACTCACCTATTTATAAGTAAGAAGACCCTTACTATGCAACATTGTGCAACCATGTGGCGAAACCACATGGCACACCATGAGAGCCACGAGGTTTCTTGAAACAATTTGCACCAATTCCCCCATATTTCCACTATGGCCCAAAACATGTTATAATTACATTATTTGGTAAAACACAATGACTCCTAATTAAATTAAATTACATTTTAGCACATACAATCATAAAAGTAAACATAAGTTTTCAAGTATCAATTTAATTATTTGATAGTATAGGATAACTAATTTAACTTCAGGTATTTCAAAAATAGATCATCGTATTATTTTCATAATAGGGATTATTTGGGGTGTTACATGGAAAATCTAACAAGTATGGGAACTGAAGCTAGGAAACATCAAACCAAAGAAATAGATGAAAACCTGCATTCATCTCTTTGTGAATAAGAGTAAATTAATACCGAAATCCATGCTATGAATTGGAGAGAGTAGATTCCCATCATTTCAAAGGGAAAGTCTTACAAAGCTTGTGAAAACTCTATAGGAATTCTAAAAAAATAGGGAAGAAAGGGGGGGGGGGAAGAAAATAGGAAAGAAATAGGGGGAATACAAATAACTCATTAAAAGTAATTAAAGACTAATCTTTTTACTCATGGAATATGGATGTGAAATCTATTTTCATGTTCAAAATTGGTTGAGAAAATAGGTTTTTAACATTTTTTAATGAGGAAGCCTTTATAGCTTTAAAGGAAAAGTAGAGAAAGATAACAAACTAAATCACATATTTAAAACAGTAAAGAAAATGCAAGAAAATAAATATCAGGTGGCTCGGCTATCCATTCCTACAAGCTATATCACATAATTAAAATAGGAGAAATGGAAAGAAAATTGTAGACGTGCCCGAGAACTCCGCTCCGCGCGTGAGGGCACGGATTGTGGTTCTGAGCTACTACAGTTCGGACTCAAATGTCACGGTTCTGAATCTAATCTCGCAAAGTGCAATGCAAGACCGATAAATCACCAAAGAGTCCAAATATGGAAAATCATTTTGGAAAACTGATTTTTATGAAGAAATGCCAAACATAGACTGCTTCGCCAGATACAGAGTCGCCACCTAAATATTTTGTTTTGGGGGAAATTTAGAAAACCCTGACTCGTGCCTAAGGCCACGTGTCCGTTATCACCAAAGTTGCCTCGGCTCGGGAACTTGGGTACGAGAGGGGAAGGTCATGCAATGAGCACCCCCGCTCGCCCGATCAAAGATCGGCCTTTACTAACATGATATATTGTTTTTGAAAACACATGTGTTCTTATTCCGGTTATCAACCTAGAATTACTATGTGATATGCATAGCACACAAGTATAGACTAGATCGCCTAAGTTGGAACAAAGCATCGCATATCCGTTTCTTTGAAAATGGTTTGAAGTTTGCTACTCGCAAGTAGGCTAAATCTAGGATTTCAATGAATTGTTCCAATTTGAGTAATCCAACCTTCACCCACAGGCATTCAGGCAGTTAAACACTTAAGCAGTTAGCCTCATGAAAAGCATGCTATCATGGCAACATTCACACTCATGTGAGATGCTAAAGCATAAACACTCACAGTGTACTCCGAGCCAAAACAGAGAACTAGTTAGAAATCAATGCATGATCCTAGTTCATGTTAAGATGGCTAATGCAACACATGCGAAAATGCATCTAAAATAGGCTCAGCTATTCTAAGATGGCATATGAGATGCAACTTGATACATGTATTCAACTTGGTATTGAAAGACAATGTAGTTAGTATGATACGCCGAGCCCGATGCATGCAGTACAGATGAATGAATGCACGCATACGAAGCATAAGGATGCTAAACAAAATATGCCCTAAAACTAACCATCGTAAGCGGTTAAGTAAAAGGGAGAAAGAAGCGGAGGTTAGAAGACATGCATCACACACACGTACCCTTATTACAAAATTCGCCCTCTCGACGGAGGGGTCCGAATAAATAATACAAACCAACTAATTAACTAACTAACAAGCTAATTAATTATTACACAACCAAATTGAATAATAAGCAATCTACTTACTAATTATTACAAAACTTTAACTAATCAACAAATTAATTAAGTTACAAAATCGAATGCTAATTAACAAATAAAGCATTTAAAATATGTAGACTAGGCTGCCTCAGCTTTGCCTTGAAGAAGTTGAAGATGCATGCTCGATTCTCGTCCCGAAAGCTCTTCAAATACTCTTTAGAGGCTCTGTCTACAGGGTGTCTTTGAGAACTAGCTCCTGGATCTTACCAAAACAGTGCTGGGGGAGTGCACCAGTGGCCTGCCGGCCATGAAGATCTTCTGCCGACCACCCAGCCGGCCAAGGATGAGAGGCTGCCGGCCACTGGTGTGCTATGACACCAAGCTGCAACAGAGCACAAAATAGAGGAAACGGAGGGTCTCCCAAGGATATATATGCACTATGCCACTCCATATCACCTCAAAACATCAAGGGAGAGGCATAATCAGATCCAAGACCATCAATCACGCATCTCGATGCATGATGGCCAAAAATCCAACATGTGCAAACTTCAATGTAAAATGAATGCACAAAACACATAAATGCCTGGAACTCTATCATGGATAATCAAGAGCATCAGGCGTCGGCGACTGAGAATTGAGGCACGTTTCATCACTTCAAGTATGAAACGTCCCTTGTTTCTCATGTTTGGCTTAACACCCAAGCCAAACACAATGCAATGCATGCAACATGAAAATGCCATGCAATTCAACATAAGCATGCCAAATGCAAAGTAACCTAA